GCCCGGAACACCTCACCCAGGAGGCGCCCAGGAGGCATCCTTGTCAGATGCCCGAACCACCTCAACTGGCTCCTTTCGATATGAGGAGCCGGTTGAAGTGGTTTTCAAAATCTTAAACAAAAAAAAGAAATAAAGGTAGAAAGACTAAATGATCATTTTATTTTCAGCATTTAAATGTAACAGTATTTTACAATAATTAAAGAGCACTTCTATCTACGCATGAACATACATCAACCTGCTCTTTTGTTTTGATATTGGTTTATGTCCGTGTTAATAATCTCTGTTGTACTTTTAAATGTTTGCTTCGTGAGCCTAATAAATAAAAAGAAAACCGTGTGCAGTGAAGGCTACAGTGGACATTAGCAAGCACAAAACATTTCAAATGAAGGCTGCCGTCCCTCTTTAAAGACAGTGAATCATTATGGATCATTGTACAGCGTTACTGAGGCTGAGCTCAGGATTGTGCTTCCTGTGTGTAGCAGGGCGCTATGACACCTGTTTTATGACGCCGGCTTTAAAGAGAATGTTTTCTGCTTCAGTTTCTCACAGTTAAAAGTGAAGGACAGTAGCATCATCTGACTCACAGACACCGCTCTGACTGAACACACCCAGTTCACATTAGTAAAGGAAAACAACAGACGGAGAACGTTTCTACTGAGCTTTACGCATTCTGTCCACCAGAGACGACCTGTGGTTGGCCAGGTTGTTAAGGACACAGCTGTTGGTGAGCATAGACAGTTTGGAGTTAAGAGAGTCTTTACTTTTCTCCCAGTAACAGTCAACTCCTGGGTCCTTGTTCTCCTCTTTATCCTCCTCTTCCTCTTCAACCTCACTTTCTTCATCACTGCGTTCATCTTTTTCCAGCTGAGGAAGAAAACAGAAGGTTTCACACTACAAACTACGAAGCAGGTCCAAAAACAAATGAGTGAGTGACACTGATTTATTTTCTTGTGACCACAGGGCTGTGAATGAGGACATAAAGCTGACTGTGGTTCAGTTTTCTGGATGCTCCCTGTCGTCCTTTTAATTGGACTCTTTGCTTGTTTGCATCAAGTGGTATCACGTAAGAAATAGAACTGCAAAACAATTGAAAACATGTCAGAGACATCTCGTGACGCACTATAGCTTCACTGCTCTTTCTCACCTTGCCTTTCAGGAACTTATAGACCATGCGCAAGATCAACTTGGCCCAGAAGATGTGCAGACCTTGCAGCACCATCAGCAGGATGTTAAAAAAGTAGTAGCCAGCAAAAGGCTCAAACACCTCCATGGACAGTACCAGGGTGGTGTGAATGATTCTGTAAGTAATCGAATAGCTAGAGTCAAGTTGCTGATGAGAGAGTTCAAATTCATCCACACTTCTTTTACAGTTATCAAGCAATTTAACGACAAAAAAAAGGAGATACAATTATCTCTTACTTGCTGGGAAAAATCACCAGCCGAGTCACGAGGAAGATCACAGCGAACATAACAAACAGGGTGTCACACGATCTCCCCCAGCCAGCGCCGTAGTTGAACATCTTTGCAGGCTGCGGAAATAATAACCGTGCAATAAAGTCACATAGCAAATCCCAACAATAGTGCTGTGAGGATATGGATAATAAAATAACAAACTAAATGTTTTCAGAATGGGGAAAAACAGCTCAGTCTTTAAGTCAAGCAGAGAGCAGAACACTAAGAATCCCTACTGTTTTCTCATTTTCAGTGCAAAAATAAAAAGCATCAAGCAGCTCAGGTTTAGAACCCTTATGTTATTCACAATTGTGTCTTCTGCACAGGTTAACAAAGGTCAGTCAGCACTGCTAGCTATCATGGCACAATCACAGGATCCTTCTGCTTCCTGCAGGCTACTGCAGAGGTCTTATATAAATATTTTCTAAGAATAACCTAAAGTGCAGTTTGAACTTCTGATTGTAGTTTGTACAGTCGGTTTTTCTCATTTCTTTCAATTTTCTACATTAATGTAGGACGTCTGGCCAAAGTGAATATTATATTTTTAAAGATTCCCAAGACATTTTTTCCTGCACATGTAAAAAAAATGACCGTAAATGACCTTTATTTTACTTTTAGAGCATAAATAAAAGGATCTGCAGGTTACCTCTAGCAGGATGTCAGAGGAGTCATGGAGCAGCATGACCAAGGTGCCGATGCGAATGTAGTTGGCACAATAGGAGAAACTGAGCAGGAAGATGGTAGCCAAGTGGTGGACGACCTGTTCCTTAAAATCCTGCAAAGGCAAACATGCAGTGAGCAAAACAAAAGAACCATCAGATGTCAACAGAAGACAGTCACTCATTAACCATGTGCTGGTCAGGTTTCTCATTAAAGCAGAAGTGAAGTGAGAGAAACATGAAATGTGACCACAGTTAGACCAACATCATCCCAACAGCTAACTTCTGTAAAGGGCATCTGCTGTGTGAGACAGGAAGAAATCTGGCAACGCACTCTGTGGTCGAGTGTGTGAAACACGCAACTCAGTCAGCAGCAATCTGTATATAAACTCTGGCGTATCTAAAAGGGCAGCGCATGCAATGAATCAGCTGCTTTCAATGCAACGCTTGCGTAACAAAACGGGCCGTTCAATGCACAAGCGCTTCTGTTTAAATAAATGCTTTGCTACGTGTCGCCGGGGCTGAACGCAGCCTGTTGTGTAACATCCCCACCTTCCTCTTGACATCCACAGAGATCCGAAGGAGCAGAGAGCCATAAAATCCCAGCTCCAGCATGTAGTACCAGTAGTGAGCTCTCTCCATGGGCTGAGGAGGACAAATATAAAGATGATTTTTTTTATAAAATACCTGGACTTTAAATACTGGCAGAACAGTAGGGAGCACTGCAGCCTACACAGGAACACCTGGAGGATTTGAAATGTATTTATAAGCTTTTCTGTTTAAGAAAGGAAGGGAAACTATCATGAATGATTCTAGCGTGTCGCTATCCTTGAATCTGAGCAACTCATTTTGTTTTTAGTCCCACTAGGCGGTATAATGGATCACTCTTTGCCTATAAACTACAATTAGATGGATTGAAACTATTCTCAGCCATGACGGTATTTTTATTTATTTTTTCATA